GAGAACAATTAGTTGAAATGTTCAGTTGCGAGACGAAAGAGGAATTTTGAATGATCCCAGCAAGCGCCCGAACATTTGGTATGAGCTCAGAAAGTGGCGAGCCTAGCCATATCCTGTCGACGTTCTTGCCCGCATCTACAGAAATACGGATTCCCGCCACATCATTCCTAGGGGAACCAATCTTGCAGATTTCAGATATGGCTGACCTCTTGGAACCCCCCTCGCACTTTGTACGAGGACGCGCTTTCACTCCGAGCTAGATATCAGCAGATGAATTAGTACCTGGATCTTTCCGTCTCTCCACCCAGATCGTTACTCACGCAAGGAGCCATGATCACCCTAATCAAGCAAGAAGCAGAAGCCCCGATAGATGATGTTCCGGATCTTATGCAAGAAATGGCCGAGTTAACAGGATTGGAGGTAGCGGAAAGCACCGCTGATTCTGCAGCTGATGCCGAAATTAAGGAAATTGAGATGATTAGTCCAGCCGAATCACAGATGATTGCCACCGTCTTCTCGGTTCGGACCAGTAGCTCCATGTTCTCGAGTGTGAACGACCGACGATCGCAGGGGATGGATTGGATCAATACACCACTCGACATCTCTGATCACCCCGTAATCACAATACCCAATCATGTCCCCCGAGAGATCCGAAGATCCCTGATTGATGTTTTGCATGGGTATGCTGAGGTGCTGAGTGTGCATGATAACGATATTGGATTATCCAACGTAATTGAGCATGCGATCCTCACGGGGGATCATCCACCGATTAGCTGCACTCCCTATCGGTATTCGCCGGCGCAAAGAGCGGCCGCGTTTCAGAGGATTAAGGAGTTCGTAGCTAATGGATGGATCGAACCCGCCATGGACCATGGTCGTTTCCGGTAGTGATTGTACCAAAAAAGGCAGGAGGAATTCGCATATGCATCGATTGAATGACATCACGATTAAGGATGTGTATCCCCTCCCCCGGATCGATGAGTTACTGGATGCTATTGGCAGTGCTCGTTTTTTCAGTAAGTTTGATGTTCGCCATGGATTCCACCATCTCCTTGTTCGAAAAGAAGATCGCCCGAAAACGACTTTCATTCTTTTCGAAGGGACTTGGCAATGGGTTCTATGCCCAATGGGGATTTGCAACGCCCCAGCCACATTTCAACGCGCCATGAACATGGCTTTCCAGAACTTCGTGCGAAAAACGCGGCTGGCGCAAAGCATAATGAATTATTGTGTGATCGTTTATATGGATGATATCCTTTTGTTTTCAAGTTCCTATGAGGGGCACGTGCAACACATCGAATGGACCTTGCACGCGCTGAAGGACGCTGCATTCAAGGTGGCTGTTGAGAAGTGTCAATTTTTCCTCACCGAGATCTCCTTCCTCGGCCACGTGGTTACGGACCGAGGGTTGCAGCCGGAGCCCCAGAAGGTAGTAGCCGTGAAAGACGCGCCAGTATCGACATCCGTGACACAAGTGCGTGCCTTTTTGGGTTTGGCATCGCACTATCGAAGGTTCATCAAGGGGTTTGCGGCGATCGCGGGACCACTCACGAATTTGCTGAAAAAATACCAGCCGTTGATCTGGACTCCGCAATGTGATCGGGCTTTCCGAGAACTCAAGGCGGCCTTGATTTCGGCTCCGGTCCTTATAAGACCAGACTCAGAAAAACCCTTTGTCCTCATCACCGATTGGCAGCCCGAGGCGATCTCAGTGATCTTGGCCCAGGTGGGACCAGACGACCTCGAACACATGGTGGAATACGCGTCCAAATCAGTGCTTGCCTGTAAGCGCAACTACTCTGCCCCGACGGGGGAATGCTACGTGGCCTTGTGGGGGATCAGTCACTTCCGAGCGTACTTATATGGCCGGAAGTTCACGTTGGTGACCGATCACGAACCGTTGCTGGCATTGAAGAAGTCCAAGGACTACTTGGGCATGATCGGACGATGGGCTACCACGTTGCAGAGTATGGACTTTGACATTCGTCATCGAAAGCACGAGAGACACGGCAACGCGGACGGGCTCATGCCCGAACCTCACGCCCGACGCGACTTCCTGATCGGAGTGTAAGTGGGCCTGGAAGTGCGAAAAGGGGTGTGCCAAGGATTTTAGGAAAGTGGGGGTGGATTCCCAGGTCGGAACTGAGGTCTCCGGTGGCACGTTTCAGGGATAGTAATGCAAGAGGATAGGCGCGGGTCGAAGTCTGGGCGTGGGGCTACCGCTTCTGCTGGCTCCGTTGTCTGGGTCGGGCTCGTATTTGGAGCTCCGTCGAAACACTATGGCTATCGCGCTGTCCGATCACTTGTTGGCGTCGTGCGTTACTGTTCTCAGAATCCGACGCAGCTGGCCTTAGTCGAAGGATGTGCAATCGTCCTTCTTCCTCCGAGCGGGTTCGTCGGATGAAGCCGGAGGCTCAGTACTCGCGGTCTTGCAAGCACTCCAAGCACGGGGGTTGGGCCCAATACGGAGCGATTGCACGCCAGGGGATGACGGTCAGCGAATGGAAGGGCAGTATGTGGTGGTAGGGAGGGAAGTCGGTTTCCAGAATAATTACTCCCAGTTCCGCAACAAGGTGGCACGTGTACGAGCTGGGGAATTCAGGGTGGTGGCCCTAGTGGGGAATGCGCTCGCCAGCTCGGTCGATATCACACGCGCAGATACGTTCGTTTCCCACTGGGTATGGAAACTCGGGAAGTTCGTCCCTCGGCCGTGCAGACAAACACGCGTGCTCCCAATATTCTCGGAATTCCGGATCCCTCAGACACTGGCGTTCAGTAACACGAAAAGGGAGTTCAATATTCATGTTGTGGGGTGAGGCGGAAACTCAGTCATTCGAGAGGATAGTCGAGTTCGGGTTTCGCAGACGCGCGCGTAGGCAGCAATCGTTTCGATCGGGCTTACATGTGCGTGCGCGGGGCCTGTCCTCGATCGGGTAGTGAAAACCAGTGAGATACGCGATGGGTCGTTTTCTTAGAGATGGTCATTTATCATGCCTACCCAACTCATACATAGAAAGGATCGCGCCTATCTATCATCCATGCAGCTATCTTGCATACAATCAAAAAGGATAGAGGATCATGCAACAATTCTCCTAGCCAATTATCCCAGAAAGGATAGAGGATCAATCAATCAATCAGATTTGCCGATTCCAAAAAAAAGGCAGGAAATGGGGGAAGACAATCATACATCAATCTTCAAAAAGAAACAAAGGAAAAATCTGAGATACCGATTCAGAAAGGACAAGGGCGTCTTCCGCCGGATACCAAAAAAAATGCTCAGAAGGATAGAAGACGGGCCAAAATTACTTAGAAGAATGAACGAAGAAGCTCAGCGCACACCTCCCGTCTCTCTCTCTCTCTCTCTCTCTCTCTCTCTCTCTCTCTCTCTCTCTCTCTCTC